AGTGGTGCTGTGGCTCAAGTGGTAGAGTGCTAGCTTTGAGTACAAAGAGGCTCAGGGACAGCACCCAGGCCGAGTTCAAGCCCCAGGACCAGCAAAACTACTACTAGTAGGAATAATAATAACATCAGTGAAAGTATCTTTTGTTAAAAAAAAAACAGCTAGAGCTAAAGCTACTACTTTTCAATGAGGTTTCAGCAGTATAGCAAGTTTGGGAGGACATAAACATTTAGATGACATGGCCCTGGTCTTGTTCATCTTCTCTTGTGTTAGGCTGTATCTGTGTGCATTGTCTATGTTTGTTTCCACTTGTGTTTGCATTTTGTTATGTGTATTTGTATGCAATTACGTTTCTCATCACTCCTTGTCATTACCCCATCTCTAATATTTTTGTATTCGTGTCAGAAGACATCAACTCTTAGGGTTCATAGACAATGCATGGACATGTATGGACATGTATACCTGACACTATCCAAGGATACAGATACTAGTGGGACAAAGATAATAATCCTTGTCCCCAGGGACAAGGCAGGTTTTTTGAGAGCTGATAAGGAGTTCAAGTTTGTCTGAATTACCTTGTCTTTTGGAAGTTGAGACACTGGCTACACTCAGTTCTTCACAGGAACAGTGGGTGCCAAAGTCGTCAGAAGCTCAGGGATCCTTTGTAGAGATCCTGTCAGAGGAAAAGACTGAAAAGGGGGACCCAAGGAGATAACCTCACTGACTTGACAAAGGACCAAGCAGAACTTGGAACTCAGGTATCCAGGCAGCCAAATTCCAGACCCAGCCCATTTCACTAGTGCACCAGATAGTGGAGAAAACAGGATATTCAATTCCTAATGTCTCAGATCTCAGGAGTTCCTGAGGAAGGAGAATTGTCTATTCATGGACACACTGCCTGGCCTTCAATCCTGAAACACACACACACACACACAACACAACACACAACACTCCGAGCAGCCAGGCGCTGGTGACTCACACCTGTAATCCTAGCTACTCAGGAAGCTGCGATCTGAGGATCACAGTTCCAAGCCAGCCTGGGCAGGAAAGTCTGTGAGACTTATCTCCAATAAACCACTAGAAAACTGGAAGTGGTGCTGTGGCTCAAGTGATAGAGAACTCACCTTGAGCTGAAGAGCACAGGGACAGCGCCCAGGCCCAGAGTTCAAGCCCCATGACTGACCAAAAACATACACAAACACACACACACACACAAAACCACTCCTAGCTATTTCCCTTTAGGAACATGAAGGTAATAGACACCCAGAGCAAGTTAACATAGGCCAGGGAGCCATTCTAACCTCTTATGGCCAAACATGTGCTAGGGAACTATACCTAGCTCTGCCCATATGTCCTGAAGCCAACACCCTATTCTATGGCAGCAGCAGAGGAGCAAGCACACTTTTCTGGTTACCTGGACAGAGGACTATATCGGTTAAACTCCTTGTGGAGGAGAAGTTAGTACAAGGAGACATAGCTGAGCCAGACTACATCCAAGTTATGTTGGAAGTAGAGCCCATTCTTGCCTCTGTTAGAATATCTCCCTAACTCCAGCACTAGAGCAATACTTCCTTGTTCCTTTGAAAATATGTTTTATTTGTATGTTATTCTCTTTTTTTTTTTATGGTCATGGGGCTTGAACTCTGGGCCTGGGCGCTGTCCATCAGTTCTTCAGCTCAAGGCGAGTGCTCTACCACTTGAGCTACAGCACTACTTCCGGTTTTCTAGTGGTTTATTGGCGATAGGAGTCTCATGGTCTTTCCTGCCCGGGCTGGCTTTGAACCAAGATCTTCAGATCTCAGCCTCCTGAGTAGGATTACAGGCGTGAACCACCAGCGCCCGGCACTTGTATGTTATTCTTGAGGCTTGAACTCTGCCTGGGCACAGTCCCTGAGCTCTATTTGCTCAAAGCTAGTGCTCCACCATTTTAAGCCACAGCTCCATTTCCAGTATCTTGGTGATTAATTGGACTTTCCTGCCCAGACTGGCTTTGCACTGTGATCCTCAGGACTTAGCCTCCTGAGTAGCTAGGATTATATACATGAGCCATAAGCGCCTGTCCTTCATACCTCAGTCTCTCAGATCTCAGGCTCCTGAGTAGGTAGGATTAGTAGTAGTAGCACCAGGCTTGTTTTACATTTCTAGAGGTTTTTAACTACTCCTGTTACTAAATTTTCATTGTAAATCATAAAAAGTAAAAAGACACTTTTGGGCATCCTTTTAAATACAGCATTATGAAGAGCATATCATAGTGGGTAAATGAGCTAAAAAATTCTGTCTGAACTGTACTCTCTTAAATGTTGGGGCAGAAAAGGAGGCTCTGTTGGGCCTAATTTAAATATGATATCCAAAATGTTCTAAAATACGAAACTTTCTTAATATGTACATGATGCCACAGTTGGAAAATTCTGAATCATGAATCCTTGATGCACAAATTTAATGTATATAAAATTATTCCGGGCTGGGAAGGTGGCTCAGTGTGCATGAGGCCCTGGGTTTGATTCTTCAGCACCACATAAGCAAAAAAGAAAAAAAACCGGAAGTGGCACTGTGGCTCATGTGGTAGGACACTAGCCTTGAGCTGAGGGACAGCATCGAGGCCCAGAGTTCAGGCTCCACGACCGGACCAAAAAAAAAATTATTTTCAACCTACATATAACATACCTGAGTTTTGTTTTTATTTTATTTATTTTTGGGTCCGGTGGTCAGGCCTGAACTCTGGGCCTGGGCTCTGTCCCTCAGCTCTTCAGCTCAAGGCTAGCGTTCTACCACTTGAGCCTCAGTGCAACTTCCAGCTTTTTTCCTTTTGCTTATGTGATGCTGAGGAATCGAACCCAGGGCCTCAAGCATGCAAGGTAAGTGCTCTACCACTGAGCCACCTTCCCAGGCCCCTGAGTTTTGTTTTTAGAGTTGAGCCTCATCTCCAAGATACCTGCTTGCCTATAAACAGTCGTTCTAATGTCTCGAATCCCAAGCACCACCTTTACCAATCATTTTAGAAAACTATAATCTCAAATGTATCCTCCACAATGCATTGCATCTCCTTGGTGTTTATTTCCTGTAGGGGCTTGAACTAAGTGGAACAGTGGGTAGCTATGGATGGGGCCAGTGACCCTCTTGCTGCCTGCTGATCATTGTGCCAACTTCTGCTCCTGGTGCTGGCAGAGACACAGCTGTGTTAGTGTGGTCACTGGGTGAGGAATGTATTTGGGGTAAACTGACATCTCCACTGCTGTTTCTAGAGCAATGACATATAGCCCCTGAGTTGCTTCCTCTGAAGAATGGGAGAACATGAAATCGCTCATGCTTCTTTTGAGAAGGCTGCCTTGTTCCCTGAATGTTTACTTGGCATCTATTCTCAAGAGATTCATCAAGATGAGTGTATTCAGTGCACTAAGACTCCTGGAACTGGCTACACAGTGCTTGCTTTGGCCATACCCATGGCCACCCTAGAGGAGCTGCCTGTGGAGCTCCTAGTGCCTCTGTTCAGCCTGTGCTAGGAAACACATTGAAACCCTGAAAGCCTGACTTTTACTGCCCTCTTCTGGAGTCTCTGATAAAGGAATAACAGCCTCACTAGGAGACCTTCCAAGATGCACTCAACCGGCTTAAAGCACTCTTGCTCTAGAGATTTGCCAAAGGTTAGGGAGACTCAGTAGAATGGGAGGCCTGGGGATCTGAGCAAGACATGGCTGAGGTCAAGGGCAGAGAGAACAGAGGCTTTGGTGTAGTGCTACTAAGGAAGCCATTGCTGGCATAACTCTAGGAACAATCTACTGGACAATGCACTAGTGACTGAAAGCTTATGTACCTATTTTCTCTTAGTAGAGCTTAAAAGATATATGAAGCTGAAGTTGGAGGTGTATCTCCTTAATAGAGCAGTAGCTGAGCACTTGGGAGGGCCTGGATTCAATCCTCAGTGCTGAAGGAAAAAAAAGTACAATAAAGGAACAATAACTTCCCATTCAGGCACCAGTGGCTCATACCTATCATCCTAACTATACAGGAGGCTGCAATCTGAGGGTCATGGTTCAAAGCCAGCCCTGGCATAAAAGTTTGTGAGACTCTTATCTCTAATAAACTTCCCAGAAAAAGCCAGAAGTGGCAATGTGGCTCAAGTGGTAGAGCTTTAGCCTTGAGCACAAAGAGGAACAGGAACATTGCCCAGGCCCTGAGTTCAAGCTCCAGGACTGGTAAAATTAAACAAACGAACTTTTTAGCCCAATGAGCTCCCTTCCATAGCTTAGTCCACTCCTTCCCCTCTCCACAGCTTAGCATGCTCCCTTCCTAGACAACACTAGGCCCACTTAGTAAAGACAGTAAGTGAACCTCTGTTGATCTAAACCAGTTAGAATGCTTTTTTTTTGTCACTTATAGATAATAACTTTGCCAGTTTTAAACATTTTAATGTTTAGGCTGGGTGCCAGTGGCTCACGCCTGTCATCCTAGCTACTCAGCAGGCTGAGATCTGAGGATCACGGTTCAAGGCCAGCCGGGCAGGGAAGTCGGTGACTCTTCTCTCCAGTGAACCACCAGAACGCCAGGGGCGCTGTGGCCCGGGCGTTTACATGGGAACACTTTCAAGCTTTTTTTTTTTTTCTTTCAGGAGGGCCTTGTGCTTGCTGGGCAGGTGTTCTGCCACCAGAGTCACACCTTCAGCCCTACCACTGAAATGTAGAACAAAATTACGCTTTCTGCATCCTACATTGTCGTTCGGGTGGCAAGTTGCCACCGAGTGGGCTGCTGCAGCGCCTGTCTCCTCGGACCTGATGCTCAACAGCAGCTGACTCTCAGCCCAGAAGGCTGCCTAGAACGCGCAGAGCCAGTCCCCGCCTAAAACAGCGCCGGGAACGGGAAGGCAGCCCACGCTCTCGCGAGAGTACGCCCGACCTCGGAAGGTGCGGCTCCGAGCAGCGCCAAGGGACCACCAACTGTCGCGAGAATGGCTGCCGGCCCTTGATACCGCGAAAGCGCGAAAGCTCGCGAGAAGAAGAGCGGCGGCTTCGCGATGACTTAAGAGTTGCGGGAGCTCGAAGGCATGTCCTCCTGGCCGGGGCGGTCCGGGAGCCGCCTGGACAGACAGCAGGAGCGCGATGTGCGCGAGCTTATCCGGCGTGTCACTGGCCTTGAGGACGAGGCGGACCCCAACTTCCAGCTGGCCCTCAACTTCGCCTGGTCCAATTTCAGGTGTGGAGGGGCGGCGCACGGGCCGCCTGGTGGAGCGCGGGG